TTCTTTGTAACTAACGCAGATGATCGTTGCCAAGTTTCGATGCCCGTTTGTCTGCCTTGCACGATTTGTCGCCACATCCTTCCATATCTTGCTTTTAACTCATCATTTCATCTGAGGCGAAGTTCCCATTGAGCACTTGCAATCTCTTGAGTGTCAATCCTTCGTTGACACAGTCTATCGTAGAACGACTCGAGCTGCATGCAGAGGACTCAGGTCATTTTTACTTGTGCTTTCAATTTCATAGGATCATGGCAAACGGTTTCGTCTATCTGTGCAGATTTGTCAGGCATCTTAAACAGATCGTTTGTTTACACATCAGCCCAAGCGAATAGGGTTGCAGGTGACAGTTTTGTAAAGTTTGGCCTACTCTTAGTATTTCTCTGTGAGTTCAGGAACAGGCACCTCATCTCCCGCGGTTCCTCTTCACTCCTCCGCTTCTGGACGGTACTTCCTTCAACCGAAACGGCAATCATTCATCTACCATCCGTTGATCCAAAATGTCCTGCAACTCGTTTGACAGTTTCAAACCGTGCTGACTGCGAATTATATGGTAAAAGTGTGACGACATCATTATTTCAAATGCTGATTGCCAATGGCCTGAAAAAGCAGTAAGAAAAACTTAAGCACCGATACCTCAGTTGGTTCCGTAACACGGCAATATGTTCGAAACTTTTCTATAGCCCACTGGCCACAGACACGTCGAACTACAGCATAAGACCTAAAAATACTTGGTTGAAGCAAGCCTGCTTATGAGAAGGAATACTACTTTGTCAAAAAAAGCACAGCCTCGTTTAAGTTTTGTTAGCTTTAGACGACCACCAAAACAACACCATAGTTGGAACCGGAATGGTTCTTCCGGAATTCCCACCAGACCTTGTGACCAGAAGTTCAGAGATCTTTAAGCTCCGCTATAATTGCCCTAAATTTGCCTACTTCATTGTTTCATGGTAGATCACATCGAACCCATGCCGGCTAACGAATTGTCATTAGACAAAAGCACATGTACGTAGATGGACAACAAGATAATTTGCTAATGAAAATGCGGTGTTAACTGACGCGGAAACGGCAATGTATGAATCTATAGAAAACCGAGCTTAGCCTCAAACACTGGGCTGGTCTTCGAGGCTGTCGAAAATTCAAACGCCTGAAGTTTTTGTTTCATTGTGTATCATGTGTCATGCGGAAGGTGCATCTGTCTCTGCGCTCAACTTTCAACTCCGAGTATCCTCCGAGGAGGTTGTTTAATGTCGGCGCGATTAATGAAGAGCCGGCTGTGCGTCGCCGCAGCCGCCGGTCCGCCGGTCGTGAGGAGGAGCAGGTGCAGCTTCGACGTCGCAGCCGTCGATCCGTTCTGCGCACCAGATGTTCCAAATCGCTAATAATCCTGGCTGGTGGAAATGGAAATGTCCAGGTGGTAGTGCGAGCAAAAACAGCAGTTCGTGCCAAATTGTTTCCGAATCAATTTCTTCTTCTCCAACGTGTTGTGACAGCGCCTAGTCCGCCTGCCTATCTCCCTACCGGCCGCCGGCGACGATGCATTGCACTGGACACCGTAATCATCCGTCGGTTGGTCGACAAACTTTTCCCAACCTGTCACAGCTAGTAACTTGCAAAATCTGCGTCCGAGGTCTCACCTCACCGACTGACCTCAGCACCGAAGCCCGGTGACGGACAGCCTATGAAGCATCTGCATGGGAACGTCGCAGTCGCTTTCTGTGGCTTGATATGAATGAATGGCCAATGCTACGGTATTCATTGGCCGTCGTTTTTGCTGACCACGTCGCGAGTCATCGAAGTGATCACAAATTCATACTTTAATTTGTGAGTGGAACTATGCAGATCAGCTG